TAGCGTGGGTATGGGCAGTGTTTCGTTCTGCTGTGCATGGGGTCGTTATGAGTCGGAAACGACTCTACAGCACCTAACAACAACAACCCAATACAAGGTATTTTCAGTGTCCTCATAGGCATGTGAAAGCTGGATAATGAACAAAGAAGACCGAAGAAGAGTTGATACTTTTGAATTGTGGTGTTCACAAAGAATAGTGAAAATACCATGGACTTCCAGAAGAAGGAACAAATCTGTCCTGGAAGAAGTGCAGCCCGAATACTCCTTCGAAGCAAGAAAGGTCAGACTTTGTCTCATGTACTTTGGTCATGTTGTCAGGAGGGACCATTCCCTGAAGAAGGATATCATGCATGGTAAAGTGGAAGGTCAGTATAAAAGGAGAAGACCACTAATGAGATGGATTGACACAGTGGCTGCAATAATGGGCTCAGGTGTAGCAAGGATTGTACCAGCCACTCCTTGGAAGGAAGGTTGGGCAATCCTACTTCCGTAGTGATAACTGCCTTGGAAACCCAAGGAGGGGTCGCTAGGAGTCGGGGCTGACTCGATGGCAAACAACAACAACAACAATAAATTTCTGCTGAAACACTGCACAGAAATTTTGTAAACAGTCATTTTTGTGTCACGCCTCACACACACACCCTAATGGCACCACTGGGAAAGCATATCATTTTTATTATTGCCAGACTAAGCTAGGTGAAGATTCATGGAGAAATGAAACAAGCAGCCCATAGAGGTGGCCACTTTAGCAGATTTGGGGATAGGCTCTAGGCCTGGGGAGTTCTGCACCTTCCTAAAGTTCTTCTGGTGTAAATTAATGCTGGGAGCTAGAGGAGGTGGTGGTGCAGAAGCAGTCCCAGGACCAGGCAGGGTGGAAGATCAGGAAGGCTGTGTGGCCCTGCAGGCTTACCCTTCAAGATCTCATTGATCCACTGGATTGCAGCTTTCTTCTCCAAGTCAAAGTCCTCAATAGTGACTTGATAACCTATCTGCGGAGCTGGGGGCATGATCAGCGGTTCTCCTCGCCTGTTAGAGAGCAGCAGAGGAACCTTGCGCTTCTGAGACCTGGAGCTGTGTGGCATAGATGAGCAATTCCCCAAGTGTTGTTTCTGCCCTGAGGTAGCATCTAAAATGTTTTCACCTGGGATCTTCTTCTCTGGTACCAATGAGGCTAAAGAGTTAGACTGATGACCTTCCTCACTCACTTTCTCTGCAGGCACCTGGGAATGGAATATGGCTGGACCAGAGAGTCTGGCCTTACTTGGTCCACTTCTCCTCTGCAGCAGTGGGAAAGCTCGAGTGGAGCTATATGAGCTGGTAATAGCATTACGTTTCCTGCATGAGCTCATAAAAGAGGCCTGCGTTGTCTTAATCAGACCATATTCTGAGCTGCTGGAAAGGAGGTCTCTTTTCAGAGGCCCGGGTTTGGGGATGAAGGAAGGGAAGATTCCATTGATAATCACAGGCCTGAATGCGGACTGTACACCCTCACCATCATCCAACCCCCTTCTCTGACTGCCTCGCCTCTCAGTGATGATGTCATTTTCTTCCTGCTTCACTGGCCATTTCCCAATCTCTCCAAGGGCCTTCTGGTCTTCCTCTTCCTGGGCTCTCACTTCACTGCTCTCTCCAAAGGCCCTCAACAGGATCTCTTTGACATAAGGGCTTGGGAAGTGACTAGACAGTGAAGACCACATACAGACAACTGTCTGCTTCAGTGCCAAGCGCAGTGTCAATTTATCTTCACTAGGTGCCAACTTCAGGATCACTGAAGTGCAGAACATCTTGGAGCTGCACACAGACAGCGCCAGCTTCTTCTGATGGCCCCTCTGGGGCGCCGAGGGTATGATCCCCAAAAATGAACACTGGGACAGCCTATTCGGATATCGTTTCCAATATACTATGACAAACCGACGGCGATGGCGGCGACGACGAAAACACGGTAAAGCCACACGATCCTCGTATGACAGCCTGCGAGACAGTCCGAGGGTAGCATCAGCAGAGTGCACCCGGCAGGCCGCGCGATCACCGCGGGCAAGGTGCGCGGGCCGGAGAGGGTTAGGACTCTGAGACGGGTCCCTGACCTTCAGAGCTGGGGACAGGGGTGGAGGAGGAGGCCGGCTCAGGTAACTGCCCATGAGGAGCAATTCTGCACCGTGGAGTCCTTCAAACAAGGCAGTGCCTCAGAGAGGCGTCCGTTAGGTTTTGTCGCAGGGGCCCAAAGCAAAGCGCGCACTGTTAGGCGTGGCCCCTGTGACGTGGGCTTGGAACGTGTGAGCAAAGAAAGGGAACTCGCAAAGCCGGGGCTAAGGAGGGCGTACGCACACAGGGCGGCGTTGGCCGCAACTCAATGTCCGGATTCCGTACCCCCTTTCCCGGACCAGGCCATAGGTCCCTCCGGGAACTGCAGGATTGGAGTTCCTGGAACCCCGAGCGGGAATCGAGGGGACACCTGATTCCTGACTCAGCAGCGACTATGCCAGTCCTCTTCCCGGTAGAGAGCTGCTCATAACATGAGCCCAAAGACGCCGCCTGTATCCTCCAGGACCGGCAGGATGCGGGCTGCTGGGGTGTAGAAGACTGCAGGAGGGATGGGCTAGGTTCCCGATGCCAGAACCTTGCGGTCTTTGCTTTCACTCTCTTTCCTTCCGACGCATAGCGACCCCTCCTTAGGTTTCGGAGGCGGTATCTCTAGGGAAGTAGAAGCTCAATTTTCCTTCCTGAGGAGTGGCTGGTGGGTTTGAACCGCCTTCCTTCTGGTTAGTAGGAAAATGCCTTAGGCACTATGCCACCAGAGCTCCCTTCCTTCGGAGGAATATCACTTTTCAAGTACCCCTCCCTGCAACTCTGTTTTTCTCTGGCTGCCTTAACAAATTACCACAAATTGAATGGGTTAAAACAATTTATTCATTCACAGTTCTGGAGGCTAGAAGTCCGAAATTAAGGTGTCAGTAGACAGGGCCATGCTTCCTTTGAAGGCTCTGAGAGAAACCATCCTGTGCCTATGTCTCCTAGCTTCTGATTATCAGCAATCCTTGGTGTTCCTTGGGTTGTGGTACCACAACTCTAATCTCTGCCTCCATCTTTGCATGGCCTTCTTTGTCTCCGTGTGTCTACATGGGCTTCTTAGGACAGCAGTTAGTGGATTTAGGGCAACTCTAGTCCAGGATGACTTCATCTTAACTAATTGCATCTGGAAAAACCCTGTTTCCAAATAAGGCCACATTCTGAGATTCCAGATGGACATAAATTTTTGATACTCTTCAGCCTAGTACACCCCCTTTTCCTAGGAAAGATTTCTAGACATACTTTATAGTGATCAGAAGTCCGAGTTTAGAGGTACCAAATTGATACCCTTTTTAGACAGGTAAAACCAATCAACCAGGAACAGTATTGTCTGGTACTTAAAACAGAATTCCTGTTTTGAGGCTCATTCTTTGCTGAAATCATCTCCCTAGTTTTTGTTTTCAGTTCTTTCACAGAAAGATTCTATAGATATTTCTGTCATTCTTTTTCAGCGCATCTAGTCAGACTTAAGTAATCTTCATTCTACTAAAAAGAACAAACCACAGAATTGTAGTCAGGAGCACTTAGCTTACTTTTGGCATGGATGTTAAGAGTTGAATTCTAGGTCAATACACAATGGAATAAATGTTGTATTCTCAGATCATACTTGGAAACTTATTTACCCCAGAAAGTACCCTCAAATATTATATAATCACTAGGCAGTTTCTAACATAACCAGGAAGTGCCCTTTGTTTGGATATTTCCCAGAGGATCCAGAAAGTACCCTCTTCATTTAGGATATGGCACGCTGCATTCCTCTGCTCTCTGATACATGCAAATAAAAACATAACATGACCTATTGAGTGTAGTTTCCTCTGAAACTGGGAGTGCATCTGACGTCTGTTTTTTCTGTTTCATTTTTTATTTCTCCCCTGTACCTCCCTCGCTTCCCCCACCTCATAGCACCTATGCATGACTCTGCCTTTCCATTTAAAAAAAAAAAAAATTAAGAGATGATGTTCCCTTAGAAGGAAAGGACCATTTTTTGAAGATCTAAGTAGGTGCTAGCAGTGGAAAGGTAAAATAAGGATTGTAGGTAGCAAGATTGGTGCTGTTAACCATTCTACACAGAAATATGTTTGTGGATATCCTCCATATGTCATCCTGAACCTTGATCTCAATCCCCACCCAGACTGCAGTGAGTTGAAGCTGAGCCACCCTGTTTCCAGTGAATGGTAGGTGAGGAGTGAGAGAGGTGAATTATCCTCATAACACAAATTAGAACTTGAAATTCGATTACCTATAAACATTCTAGAGCTCTGGTGGCGTAGTGCCTAAGGCATTTGACTGCTAACTAGAAGGCTAGCAGTTCAAACCCACCAGCCACTCCTCGGAAGGAAGGTTGGACAATCTACTTCTGTAGTGATAGTGCCTCAGAAACCCAAGGAAGCGTCACTATGAATTGGGTCTGACTCAACGGCACATAACAATAACAACAATAATAAACATTCTGACAGGTTATTATTAGTTGAATACAGAGCACATAAGAATATTCAGATTAATTTTTTGGATGATCTAGTATTACTCCAATAAACTTCTTTGGTCTTGTTTTTATCCTTTTTAACTTTTGTTGGCTTGCTATTACTTGGTGAATGCCCACAGTGATCTTGCTAAGCCACATAGTTTTTCTAAGGGGTTATACCTGGTTGGCGCAAATTGTTTGCATTCAACTACTAATCTAAAAATCGGTGGTTTGAATCCACTCAGTGCCACCACAGAAGAAAGGCCTGGCAATCTGCTTCCATAAAGATTACAGCCAAAAAAAAAACACCCCTATGGAGCAATTCATGGGAGCTCTGGTGACGTAGTGCCTAAGGCATTTGACTGCCAACCAGAAGGCTGGCGGTTCAAAGCCACCAGCCACTCCTCGGAAGGTTGCAAAATCTACTTCCCTAGTGATACCGCCTCGGAAACCCAAGGAGGGGTCGCTATGAGTCAGATCCGACTTGATAGCAAACACAACAACAACAACAACATGGAGTGATTCTACTATGTAATTACATGAGGTCTCCATGAATCTGAATTAATTTGATGGCAACAGGTTTGGGATTTTTTAAATTTATACTAGTATGTATTCTCTCCACAAGCAGAGAAGGAAAATATGATTTTGCATAACTAACATTTAAAGGGTTGTACGTTAATGAGATATAAAAATGAGTTCTAAAATTCAGGAGTTTGGGTTTCATTCTTCTGAAAAAAAAAATTTTAACAACCTTTCAATTTTTTATCAGCCTGAAATAGCTTCAAAGCCCTTCATAAAATGAAATAGAAAAATTCATGACAGAAGTGGATACACCACCACAATGTGCATCAATTTCTCAATGTAAAAAAATCTTAATTACAAACACATTAAAGTAAAATATAATTATATTTTTGTTACCCATTAAATACCATTTTGAGTAATTATTTTCAAATATTAATTTTTAAATAGCTTTATTGAGGTATAATTTACATACCATGAAATTCACTCATTTATGATCACTCTTTAATGATTTTTCACCAAAATCTATTTCTAGAATGTTTCTATTACCCACCCCCCAAAAAAATTTGTGCCTGTTTGCAGTCACTCTTCATTTTCACTCACAGGTCCAGGCAACCAATAATAATACTTTTTTTTTCTCTATAAATTTGCCTTTCCTTAACATTTCATATAAATTGACCCTTACAGTATTAGGTCATATGTGTCTGGGTTCTTTTACTCAACATAATGTTTTTTGAGGGTCATCTATGTTGTAGCATGTATCAGTACTTCTCTTATGGTTGAATAATATTTCATTAAGGAGCCTGGTGGCACAGTGATTAAGCAGGATACTAATTGAAATGTTGACAGTTCTCTCTCACTAACTGCACTTCAGGAGAAATATGTAGCAGGCTGCTTCTGTGAAGATTACAGTCTTGGAAACCCTATAGAGCAACTCTACTCTGTCTCACTTTGAATCAGAATTGACTTGATGGCAATGGTTATGTATGCATGTGTTTATGTATAATGTCCCATTGTATGGATATAGCACATTTGTTTATCCATTCATCAGTTAGTGGACATTTGAGTTGTTTCCACTTTTTGGCTATTCTGAATAATAGCCAAATAATACTAGTGTGAACATTCTCAGACAGGTCTTGTGGGGACATATTTTCATTTTTGGAGATAGATACCTAAGAGTAGAATTGGTGGATCATGAGGTAAATTTATGTATAGCACTTGAAGAAACTTCCAAAATCTTTTCCAAAATGGCTGCTGTACTTTAAATTTCTACCAGTAACATATGAACGTTACCATTTCTCTGCATCCTCACTAACAGTTTGTACTGTTTGTCTCCATCTATAACCATTCCAACCAAACCAAAACCAAACCCACAGCCACTGTATCAATTCTGACCCATAGCGACCCCCATTGAGTTTCCAAGGTGGCAAATCTTGATGGAAGTAGATTAGCGAATCTTGCTTCCACGGAGTAGCTGGTGGGTTTGAACTACCAACCTTCTAGTTAACAGTCAGGTGCCCTAGTAACTGTGCTACCAGAGCTCCTTATAACCATTCCAGTGGGTGTGAAATGGTATGTCAGTTTTAATATGCATTTCCCTAGTGACTAATGCCACCACATCTGTCAGTTTGTTATACTGTGGTGGCTTGCATGTTGCTGTGATGCTGTGAACTATGTCACTGGTATTTCAAATACAGCAGGGTCACACATGGTGAACAGGTTTCAGTGGAGCTTCCAGACTAAGACAGACTAAGAAGAAAGACAGAGCTATCCATTTCTTAAAAAACGGCCACTGAAAATCTTATGAATAGCAGTGAAACATAGTCTGATACATTATTGAAAAACATTATGAATATAAGTGAAACATTGTGTGGTATAGTGCTGGAAGATGAGCCCCTCAGGTTGGAAAGGACACAAAATATGACTAGGAAAGAGCTGCTTCCTCAAAATAGAGTTGACCTTAATGATGTGGATAGAAGAAAACTTTCTGGACCTTCATTTGCTGATGTGGTATGACTCAAAATGAGAAGAAACCATTACAAACATCCATTAATGATCAGAACATGGAACCTACAAAGTATGAATCTAGGA